TCGTGCATATCATTATCCCTGTAGTTTGATGAGGCTATCCATAATTGCTTGTGGACTATATAACTATATAAAAGAGGCGATTAACTGTGTTGTTCGGATACTTCAAATTACCAATAGTTAGTACATAGTCTCGAAAAAAATATAGCTTAAAAGGGATACTTTGACTTCTTGTAAATCTGCTGGGAATTACTTGCCAGCATGAATAATGAATTGTTGAATTGTGTTTAATTACTGACCACAAATTATATGTTTAACCCAACAGCAACACTGACAATTACAAATATTGGGCATTTGAATGTTGTAAAGGTGATGGAAATTAAATTGATCGAAAAGTAGCAACACGTTCACATAACATTTATTCAAATAACATTTTCAACTGTCCATCAGTGGTCAAGTACATACATACATACATATTAAATGCGGTTACTGGTAAGGTCATTTATACAAATATCTTGGAAATGTATATACAAACTCCATAAAAATTGAAATACAATTTGTTTCTCACCTAAATGAAAACATTTTTAATTTGCAATTTAATATTTCAAAACAATACAAAATGTAATCAGAAATTAAAGCTTAGTAATGAAGCCGATAAAATCATAATCAACAGCAAAATGAAATTTATTCCAATATTTGTGGCAGCTTTATTTGCGAAATGTACAACCAACGCATGTTAATGAATATTAAGTATATTTTTCCAAAGAATCCCAACGTTCGGATATTTAGTCAATATTTTTTGATGTTAGAATTTCAAAAATCTAAACGAAAAATTAATACAACAAGCTCCCTTTAATGCGAAATAAATCATATCAATAATCTCCGGTATGTATTGAGAGGATACGGTTCGTTGCACGTGCGTTTAATCAAAGAAGAATAAAAAACAAATACTTAATATTGTCCTCGAAAAGTCTTTCCAGGGTTAAAAAATATTTACACGAATTAACGTGAAAAAAAGTGCAAAAGGGAATATTATATTAAAAACATTTTGTTTAATTTATACCTTTTTGTATTGATGTTGTTGATATTTAGTTAAATTTGTTGTTATTCTTTAAAGGTTGCCATTTTTTGTGTGAGTATGTAATCTATTTACCGTTATATTAAAACCAAACATCCGGTGCTCATTCAGCTCTTTCTGTTTTTATAACAACAATAACTGACTACGTGTACGATGACTTTATATAGTAGAGTCTTTCACTTTAGGAGCGTAAAAATGTTTGGGTATAAGTACATATTTACATTCGTACATAGTATGAACGTAATATGTACGTATATGGTGATGATCTGCTGTGTAAATTATAATATTTAAAATTCTTATTTGAATAATAACATCAACAATACATGTAGTTTTAAATTTATGTAGACATTTAAATAATACTCTAAAAAATAGATTTTCTTTAGTTTTTAATATTTAAAGCTAACTTTATGGATATGCTGAAAGCGAACAAGAAAACCTATGTCAAAATTTGACTGATGGTTGTAAGATTTAGGTAAACTATTGTATTTTTCATTTCAATTCGTTTAAAAACGTTGCCATTTGAATAATATTTCTATAAATTTATAATATATTAATATCGAATGCAAAATAACGAAAAATTATAAATATGTATAAGCAAAAGCGTTCTAGTTTGCGTACATGGCAAATGCTAATTAAGGACCCTTCACACTAGCACACGAAAAAGTAAAATAAAATTCCATCCATATGACAAAACAAGTAAGAAAGTATAGTCGGATATGGCCGACCATATGATACCCTACACCAGTTATAAATATTAAATTTGATTTATTTTTCATAATAAAGCATTTATGTATCTTGAATTATTACCTTCATTCCGATTAATTTAAGAATTTATTGACAAAAAACTAATTTTCTGAAAAAGGTTTTATATGGGGTATATGAGCAAATGTGGACCGATCCCGATAAAATGGGCTGGATAGATTTATATTTATATAATATTTGTCTGTGATAAATTTCATTGCAATAATGGACCGATTTTAAACATTTCATCAAATTATGTAGAAATTGCGACCTGTACTTTTAAATCGACTCAGGAAGTGATTCTGTGTCGATCGGTATACTTAAAGGTACTAATAGTACTAATATTTTAGTGCGTTACAAACATCAGCACAAAAGCATAATATCCTTCGCACTATAGTGGTGTAGGGTATAAAAAGAGAATAAAAGTTGTATGATTTATATTTTTTTAAACAATTGTTATAAAACAATAACAAAATATGATGAAAACTGCTGTTTTCCTTTTCTACTTTATGTTTACATAAAAATACACCCCTGGCCTAATGCGACTTGCTTATTATTTGAATCATTTTCAAAACTGAATAGATCCATACGACTGTCAAATTTTCGATCCGTATTTTCTTTACATATTGCATTTAGATGATCCCATCCCATACATTTTAAATGTTCAAATTCTTTAAACAATATTTAAATAATAACAACATAAAGACAATAAAATACTTGAAATATTTTAGTAATTTAAAAAGTTTTATTTCGCAATTGTTATACCATTACCAAGTTTTTACAAGGAATTATACCAACCTAATAACTTTATAAAAATACATGTTTTCAAATGTAAGTATTTGTACAAATATTCATATGTAACTCTATGAATTTTTAAATACATCTCTGCAGTGCAAGGTGATTATTCAAAACTAGTGATTTTATTTTACATTAAGGGTTAAACCTGGCTGAATGATTTCAGATGAAACACTTCACTTCGTTACTATTGCAGTGCCAATCTTCTATTTGAGACTCTGCATTTGAATAACGATTGTCTTCCTCTTCGCATTTCAAGCCATTCATACGAGTTCATATAACAAATAAAATGTATAACTGCGAGTCAATTAAGTTGCTAGACATTTGTGAAAAACACTTTCTAAAAGGATACATTGACTCCTTGAAAAACTGGTGGGAAATTCTTCACCTATAATAGGTTTTCATCTTTATTTACAGGTGTGGAAAGAAGTGTCATTTGATGTTTAAATGCTCACGTCTGTGTACGTGTGTGAGTGTTTATGAATAATCATTATATGTTGTTTATCGTTTATTTGATTATGCATAGGAGGGCGGCAGAAACAGGAGTTCAAATGTAGACTTTTACATTTAAGCATCCTTTGGGGCATATAATTTCTGTAAATGTTCCACGACGTTTAATTAGACAAACATTTGTCAGTTCTTATTAAAATTATTTGCTTCATCAGTTGATTCCAACATTTTAACATAATCATTCATTGACGATTACTTGATCAAACAAAATTTTTTAAAAGCCCTTTTCTGTTTGACTGAGCTTTTTGAAATCTTATACATACATATATATATATATATATATATATATATATATATATATAACAATATGAGTGCAAAAGATGAAGAACAGAAAGGAAGATACTATCTTACATAAAATATATATTCATGGCTATAAAACTTCATTTGTGACTACAATGTGTTGCTAGTGTTCTGTTCAAGATATTCGTATAAGGTTTTATGGTGTAAAAATATAAATTTCCTGTGACCGATATGTTCGTTCACATGTGTATAAAGGTGTGTGTTTGTATATGTTTTTGCAGATTTATTTACAGAAATGTGTATGCTTCTTACTATCGTCTATATGGATGTTTATATAGTTTGTTAATAAAATACAACAACAGCTTCCAACCAACAAACCAAGCAATGTTACACATGCAGAAATTGTTGAAACTACAACAAACAAACACATGAACGTTAATTGCTTGTTTTATCACCGAAAATGTTTCATATATTCATTCCAAGTAACATTCTAAATTCATACATAGACTCTCCAGCAAGAGGCTGTTATAAAATACAAGTAAATGTAGGATTTGTTTGAGAAATTGTAAAGGTGGGGTTGCCGACTTTAGTCCGGAAGAAAATTTTACTTTGTTTGTGTTTTTATTTATATTTAACTTCTATGGCGCCTTGTTAACTGCTTGTGGTAAAAGTGGCTGATTTTAGAAATAAATAAAATAAATTTGTTCCTCTCATTTTTATGCCATAATGTTTTGGTTTTTACTAAGTTTGAACATATTTTTACTTCCTCCTTCTCATTTAATCTCCCTTTCTGTCTGCCGCTTCAGATTCTAACATTAAGCCCTGTTGGCCATTAGTTTTAATGGCATAAGTTTAAAAACACAGATTTTGTGTTGTTTCAATTTTCCATTTTATTATAAACAAATTTGAGATTAGCCTTTTACTTTGTAAGCAATAAGCACAATTTTTTATGGTATTTGGATTAGAAACTATGTTATTTTTTGGAATGAAATTTTAAACCAAAAGAAAGAGTTGTATGTAAAAAAAAAGTTATTTACCACAATATGTGTTTTTTTATATTAAGAAATGCGCAAAAGAATATCTCATTATGAAAAAGTTTCCAAAAAATAAGAAACTTTTCCTGATCGTTAATTCACATAAAATTACTGGCTGTTGGTGTGTATGCTAATATTAATCTTGATGTTTTATTAATGTTTTGTGGAAAGGTTTAACAATTTACATATTCTGTTTCCCTTTTAAGTTTTGAAAAATATTACAGAGGTTTCAGAAACTTTAATTTACGTATAACTCTTCATTTTTCATAATTTATTGAAGGAAATATATAGTAAAGGATTTAAATAATAAAAAGTTTAACATTCCAAATTTTTCATGAATATGTATAAACCTAATATAAATTATTAATTTTGTATAGAAATACATTTTTCCTAAAAAGTGTAATAATTCATGTTTAAAAACTTCTAATTAAATGCTGTCCAAAATCTAAGTGTGTAAATCGAATTTCTTAATAAAATTTTAATTATAATAATATTCATATTATTATTGAATAAATTTTAAATTATTTTTTACTTCCTTATAAATCTGCTTTTCTTAAATTTACACAATTTTTGTCCATATTTTTCTCTGTTTCTTTACAGCAAATTACCCACGACTCTTCAGTATTTATATCATTATTTATTCAAAAATATAAACAGTAAATTTAATAAAACTCAACCATGTACAACGTATTCTGTCAACAACGATTAGAGCAGCTGCAGCAACAAAAACAACGACAAGAACAACATATGTCATTATTTTGTAAATAATTAAAAACAGAAACATTTATTAAGCGCTCTGAAACTCTGAACTATAATTAAAAATTATTATAAATCTATGAAAATGTTACTTTTTGACAATGACCCCAATCAAACGTTTTCCATTTTATTATCATCCAATGAATTCGAAAGCATGGAGTCATTATCAGCATCTGCAACTGCAGCATCATCTTCATCATCTTCATCCGCCCTTTGGTTGCCATCGCCTTCATCTTCATCGTCCGCATCCTCCGATTCAGCCGTATCTGCAATATGGAATTTTGATAAGTTGCCATCGGCCAAGGCCTTGTTGAATAACGAATGGCTGCAGCAGAACATGAGCCAAATGCTGAACATGTCCAGTGACAATTTAACAAATTTATTCACCAGCATCCAACAGCAGCCGGTGCCACAATCCCAACGATCGCCCATGCCGCTTTTGGCCACATTGACGGTCTGTTATACGCTGATATTTATTGCTGGTGTCCTTGGAAATCTTATAACATGTATTGTGATATCTCGTAATAAAATTATGCATACGGCAACGAATTTTTACCTCTTTAATTTGGCCGTATCCGACCTGATACTCCTGTTGTCAGGTGAGTGTTTTTTAGAATTTTTTTATTCAATAAGACTAGATTAGCAGAAAATAAGTAAATTCTTTAGGAAACCTGTCACTTGTTGCTAATGACAGTCATTAGTTAGTCATGTAATTGCCGTCGTCATTATTTCCTTTGTAAATACCACCACTACTGCCAATATTATCCTTTGTAGTATGTCGGTGCGTGTATTTTATCCTGCAAATTGTTTGCGTGTCTTACTTGTTGAATGCTTAGTGCTACGAAAAAAAAAAGAACAAGGAAGTTCAAATTACTACAATAAAAGGGACAAATATACTCACTGTAAATGATAAAACAACAACATGAAAGGAAATATTTTTATTAACTTGGCCACTTTAAGTTTGCCTAAAAATTTATAATGGTACCTTACAGTTTGTCAATAAGCACTTGTTAGAAATTTTGCATTAAAATCTTAAATATAAAAATATCAGGATTTTTCACAGTTATCTCTTTATAATGTAGAAAAACTGTGTTACAATTTCGCTTGTTAACTTACTAAACCTCTTCTGGGGTAAGCAGTATTATCATTTGCTATAATTTCAAATGAAAGGAAAAACTTAACATAACTGTTTTCGCATTGTAAAGTACAAATAAACAAAAATTGGTTAGCAACTTACAAACTATGAACAACAGTAAATTCTTTCAGCTTTTCCATGATGTAACAACTATTCAACAAATATATTTTCACCAAAAGTATATGACATAGAATATGAAAAAGGGAGCCTAGAAAAAAATATGACAAAATAATTTATTTAAATTAAGCCCACTAAATTATCAAAGAAAAAGGCTCCATTCCAACTTATTTGCATGGAATGGAATTATTTATTTATTTATAAATATTACAAGGACATTGCAATATAATTTAACATAATTGAAAATAAGACTAACCAAGATATTAATATAAAATATTTATAAATACAAAGTAATAATAAATTCTTTAAACATGACTTTGTTTTAATTATTTCTATTCCTTGAATTAACTTAATTGAATTAATAAAGAATAATAATATTATTGATTAGAAAACATGTGACTGAGGTTGGAAACCGATACCGCTACCTAAGTATGAAATGCCGTATATAATTGATATTAAAACTGCCAAACAAACTACTATTTTCTGTGAACTACAAATCCACATACCGTTTCCTTCAATATCAGTATTGTATCAGCATTTATAGCGATATAAATAGTAATACATAATTTCTAGTAGTTATGTATATTGTCTTCTCGTTCTAACAACTTTCTGAAGCTTTTCTTTTCTGAACTCTAAACCGAAGATTTGATGAATTTAATTTTATATAACTCGAACGAATAACAAATTGAACACTAGTACCGATAATATTATTCGTTTCGTTGGCTAACCTTGCTGATATCTAATACAGAAATATTATTTTCCTTAATATTAAATATCAATTGACCTGGAATTGAAACATTCTACCTCCTAGAATTATTAAACCATTTTTATACAATATTTTAAACAAGGTCAATTTCTTCCTTAGTTTTTGGTTTAAATTACCTTAAGCCAACAATAGAAATGTTTAACATAAATCTCTACAAGTTTTCTAACCTTTATAAGTTTATTTGCTGTTTAAAATGTTTCTCAAGAAATTTCACTTTAGATTTTTTTAGTTGTTTGTTTTTTTTATTTTGTGTAATTTTATTCATATTTGCTTTGTTTTTGTGTTCTTTTGCAGGTATGCCTCAGGATTTATACAATCTGTGGTATCCTGACTCATATCCTTTTACCGATGTACTGTGCGTTATGGAAGGTGTCTTGTCAGAGACAGCTGCCAATGCAACTGTACTGACTATAACAGCCTTTACTGTGGAACGTTATATTGCCATCTGCCATCCATTTCGGTAAGTAGAGAAGAGAAATACAGAGATAGATATATGTATTTTCTCTTACATTTTAAATTGACAGTGTGTCGGTACCTTTTGGCAGTCTGCATTTATGTCCGTCCCTAAAAATATATTTATTGTTGTTTCTGCTTGACCAACCAACACACACTCATGAAAACGAACATCATGGCTATATGGATAGACAGAAAGCAAAAAATGTTCATTACTTTTTTATAATTGGCTTAAAATTGTCGTATTATAAAAATATACAATTAATAACCGCAGACAGCTACAGACATAAGATTTTATTGCATTAAAAATTAAATTTTATATAAATGCTACTACATTGTAAATGTACTAGTACTTATAATAAAATTTAAATGAAAACAAAACCCTTAATTATCTTTTGAGGCAGCATTTTACTGACTTACATATATACTTAAGACTTATTAATACAGCGTTTATATCACTACAATTTAAATTCATTTATTTGTAGGTTAATGAACTAAATTAAATAACATTCCTTCTAGGTATATAAATATATCAGAACATGGGTCGTATATTTAAAGTGAATTTCGGAACCATATAATGAATAGCTTCTTTCGTATTTTATTACCTCAATTTATCAATTTAACTGATTTATCCTTAATTTTGTTAAACCATATATCGATATTAATATAAACATGGGAGTGATTTTTGGAATAGGACTTTTAAATGGGGCTTGGTGTGGGGATATATATCGGTATGTTTAGTTTCATCGCTATATTGGTATTTTGAGTCATTTCTAAGGTAGACTAAGTGTGGTCTAATTCAATATGAAAACAAGTAAGAATGTATAGCCGGGCATGGCCGCCATATGATACCCTAAACCAGTGATTTTGGTAAAAATCTTAATTTTTTAATAATGAAGCATTTAATTTGTTTTTTTTTTACTTTAATTCCAAATTATTTCAACAATTTGTTGACAAAAACGAGATTTTCTAAAAGTGGAATTATGTATATGGGAGTAATTGTAAATATGGGTCTATCCTTATAAATTTTGGTTGAGGGATTTACGTTTGCATTAAAATTATATATGCAGACTTTTGTCGTAATGTTAATGGTTATAAGTGAATTCTGACATTCAAGTCATTTTCTGAAGAGGACTTTGTATGGGGCAAAAGGGGGCTTTTTGGTGAAGTTTTATCGATTTTTGTAGATATACTAGATCATTTAACATAACTATGAGCTCAAAAGCCTTATTCGGGGTACGGTGGACCAATTTAAACCATTTTCAATAGGCTTGAGTCAAAAGAATAGTATGTACTAAATTTCATCAAATTATATTGAAAATTTCTACCTGTAGTGTGCGCACAAGGTTTACATGGACACACAAACGGACTGACGGACATAGCTAAATCGACTCAGAAAGTGATTCTGATCCGATTTATATACTTTACTGAGTGTAGGACTAATATTTTTGGATGTTACCATCATCAGAAAAAACGTGTAATACCCTCCCCGCTATAGTGGTGTAGGGTATATATGTTTATGTCCAACCAAGGATAGAAAATTTAGCAATAATTGACACTAGACTAGGAAATACAATATACAAGTCCATAGACCGATTTGTAATTAGTAGACCAGTCTATTTATCGCTTATCAAAAAACTAGTTAATATTACAGAAAGACGAAATGCAAATGTTCCAGCCCTGTGTCCAAATTAATCTTTTTAATTGTTTTTCTATTATGACAATTTTCAACCAATTTAAAATTTATCTGATTAATGTTATATAGAAAAACTATATAAATAAATATTGTTTTTATTGACACACAATATAAATTTTGTTAATTTTTTTTATACCCTACACCACTTTAGTGGGGAGGGTATATTGGATTTGTGCTGATGTTTGTAACATATAAAAATATTCGTCCTAGACCCACCTTAAAGTATACCAATCGGCTTAGAATCGTTTTCTGAGTCGATTAAGCTATGTCCGTCCGTCCGTCTGGCTGGCTGGCTGTCCATGTAAACCTTGTGCGCAAGCTACAGGTCGCAATTTTCGAGATAATTGGATGAAATTTGGCATGCACGTTTTATTTGACCCAAGGACGAAGCCTATTGAAAATGGTTAAAATCGGTCCATTATTTCACCTAGCCCCCATAGAACAGAACCCCCCGAAAACGGCTTCTGAGCTCATAATTATGTTAAATATACAGATATATCGATAAAATACGGCACAACTAAGTTTTATAGAAGTCTTGATAACCCTGCCAAATTTCATAAAGATCGGGCCCCATTTGACCCTAGCTCCCATACAAAGTCCCCTTCAGAAAATTACTTGAATGTCCCAAATTAACTTATAAACACAAATATCGCGATGAAATTCAGCACAATTAAATATTATGTAAATATAAATATGTTCACAAAATTTTATCGGGCTTGGTCCATATTTGCCCCTAGCCCCCATATAAAGCCTCTTTCAGAAAATTGGTTTTTCATCCATAAATTGCTTAAATGTATCGGAACAAGGGAATATTGAAGATAAATGCGATATTATGAAAAATAAATCACATTTAATATTCATAACTGGTGTAGGGTATCATATGGTCGGCCACGCCCGACTATACTTTCTTACTTGTTTAAATTTAAAAGCAATAAACTAGAAACCATGAAATTAAGCTGTTGCATTTGGCTAAACATTTTCCAATTAAAATGTAACAAAATCTACACCACATACTTCATACACACACACATATTTAGTTTCTATTTTTGTATGTCAGTTACATTTACAATACATACATATGTTTTTTATAAATTTGTAACTGAATACAGAAACAAATGTATTTTTGTATATATACATGTACTGTTATAGAGATAGATATTTATAAATCCTTTTTTACATTTAACATTGAATTTCAATATTTATTTTTTGTATTTATTGGTTTTTATTGTTGTTGTTTATTTCTCATTTTTACAGCCAACATACCATGTCGAAATTATCACGTGCTGTTAAATTTATTTTGGCCATTTGGTTAACGGCTTTTGTTTTAGCTTTACCCCAAGCGATGCAATTTTCCGTGGTGCCACAGCATGGTGGTACAGCATGTACGGTAAGTATTACAGGAAAAAATAGAAACAAATAGAAAAATAGATTCAAACATACAACAAATACTACTCAATAAAAGGTGTTTCAACATAAAGTGTTTTTCTATATTTTCTATATCTATCAGAATTGTAGTGTAAAACTGCAAAGTATTTTACAAATTCATACTTACGCTGCAGTTGAGAAACCCTTTAAACTAAAATTTATTAAATAAATTTTGAAAAGAATAATATTTTTCTGTTGAAACACTTTTTAAATAATTTCCTTGTAATAAATACAACTTGATTTTAATAATAAATATTTTCCCACCCAGATAAACAATGATTTCTTTGCACATGTTTTTGCGGTGTCGGGTTTTATATTTTTCGGTGGACCCATGACTGCAATTTGTGTTCTCTATGTACTAATAGGAGTAAAATTAAAAAGGAGTCGCTTGTTGCAAGCTGTGCCAAGAAGATGTTACGATGTCAATCGGGGTATTAGCGCACAAACTCGAGTCATAAGAATGTTGAGTAAGTAAAATAGAATATTATTTAAAATTTATTTACAACAACTACATATGAAATTCTTTAATATTCTCCTTCCATATCGACTAGAATATGTTATAGGAATAAAACTGGAAAAAAAAAAGACCAAATACCAAACACAGTATGCAAATAGGAAAGTTGAAATAGAAGTCATAGATTTATTTTTCCCAGGGATATGTAATCAATATTTAAATTGTATTTGTATGGATTTAAGTAAACGTACTTTTATTCATGCCCACATATATACATATGTTGTACATACTATGTATGTTAGTTGGCTTAACGAGTTGTAAGCTCGTACAAATATTTTCTTATAATAATACATACAGAGTAGGTTGCAGTAGGCCCTTTTGGTACAGACATAGACATGACATACATACATACAATAAAGACAGACAGACAGACAGACAGACAGATAGAAAACAGACAGACAGATCAGACAGAAGACAAGCCAGACAGGATACAACTAGAAGACAGACGACAGACAGACAAGACATGACAGACAGACATACATACAAGACAGGACAGACAGACAGATCAGACAGACCACAGACCAGACTCTGATCAGACAGCCAGACAGACAGGACATATAGACAGACAGACAGACATAGACAGACAGACAGACAGACAGACAGACAGACAGACAGACAGACAGACAGACAGAGCAGACAGACAGACAGACAGACAGACAGACAGACAGACAGACAGACAGGACAGACAGACAGACAGACAGACAGACAGACAGACAGACCGACAGACAGACAGACAGACAGACAGACAGACAGACAGACAGACAGACAGACAGACAGACAGACAGACAGACAGACAGACAGACAGACAGACGACAGACAGACGAAAGACAGACAGACAGACAGACAGACAACATACATACAGACAGACAGACAGACAGACATACAGAATACATACAGACAGACAGAAATACAGACATACATACATACAGACAGACATACAGACATACATACATACAGAATACATCACATACATACAGACATCATACATACATACAGAATACAGACAGACATACAATACATACATACATACAGACATACATACTACATACAGACATACATACATACATACATACATAACATACATACATACATACATACATAACATACATACATACATACATACATACATACATACATACATACATACATACATACATACATAATACATACATACATACATACATACATACATACATACATACATACATAATACATTACATACATACATACATACATACATAAATACATACATACATACATACATACATACATACTATATATTTGTCAAATCTGGGAAAATTTTAAGTACTACTTTAATAATGTTCAACTAATTATGTTTATATACACCATGAAATTGTATACAACCCTAAACATATGGATAGAGAGGTGTAAAGAAAAAAGGATATATTATTGGTCGATAGGAAAATAAATTTGAAATTAAATTTATTACAAATATCTTTGGTCCGATTTGAATAAAATTTATTATAAATAGATCAAAATTATTATTGAAGTTTTGAATTTGGGGCGTTTTTAGTAGCTTCCAACCTTGATTCAATTTAACAACAAACTCAGTAGCATTTTCTTCCTAATCTTATGAAATCTGAAAATAAGAAATTTTGTATCCTTATATCAAATTGTTTCAATATGCTGACACTTTTGGTATGCATTTTAAACAATTTCTTCTGAAATTCTATAAATGCTTATTTATTTGAAACAGAAATTCTTGAGATATTTAAAACAGAATCCATCACTTTAGTTCGCATTTCCAAACAAATATTTCTATAATAATATGTATTTATGTATGAATGTCTGTACGTGTTAAATGTCAATAGAATAAATTTTATTTATTTAAGAAGAAATGCAAATAAACATAATCATATCGTTAATTTTTGTAAATATTTTAACACTTATTCAACATAAACAATATTAAGCAAAGTAGGAGGCTTGATATATGAATCTACAGAATTACAGATAAATACATTTGTATGTATGTAGGTATATGTATATAATTGTTTGTAGACAAAACACAGAATGTTATCTAACAGATTTTCATTGTATTCCCAAAAGATAGCAAATGAGATTTGTAAGGCAAACGAAACAATAAGAAATAAACAACCATAAATATTATTTAATATTTAATGCAGAAATAATAAAATTATTAAAAGATAAGGTAATGAAGAATGCTTAAATAATGTTGATTTAATCGTTAAACCGCAGTTACAAAAACAAAGATACGAAATTTAAGTATGAATTACATACCACAATTTAGGAAATATAATTGTAATTGTATTGTATTGTATTTGTGGCATTTTGTAACACATGTGTTTTTCTATATACTTACATACTTACATGTATGTTTCTGTGCATGTGTTTCTATCCTGTTAACTGTGGTATTCTCTAAGGCAATGAATTCATGAGGAATGGTGTGTGTAAAATTCCACATGAAATCCTTTTTAAAATGACACATGTTTGGTAAACAATCGTTGGTGTTATTACATATTTATTGTCATGGAAAAATATTGTATAACACATTTACTTTTTTGTCGGAAAGAAGTGTATAGGACTGGTTTTATAGTCATATTTTCTTAACAATGGCCCTTAAGAAAACTTTCTTTTTTCCAAACGTTTTTAAATCCTAGAAACCGAAAAGTATACACACACACATAGTCTGCGAAAAAAAACTTTGAAAGGACACATTTTAGCTTTAAATAATTTTAAATAGGTTAAAGAACACTTTAGTTCTCCATATGCATACGACTACATAAATTATTCTATTTTAGTTTCTGGTATCAGTTTAAATTACTTTACTTTTACGCAGTAATATATACATTTCTTTTAAACACCCACACTGGATAATATTGTATTATGTCTGGATATATTTGATACTGCACAAAATTCAATTGATTAATTGTATAAAATTAGAAAAATAGAATTGAGTGTTTGTGTGGGTTACAGTTGCATCATATGTGACTTACCAGGTCCAGGCTTGGAGACTGTCAATTACATTTTAAATAACATTACTCTAGAAGTGATTGTAATTGATTATTTTTAAATTACCACTACTTGCAATTGTAATTAAAGTTTTTCGATAACAATTACTTGTAACTGTACTATTAATAAAAGTAATTCAAAATAGAGTTTTAAGATTATCACCACAAAATTACAAGAATATTGTTAAATGAAAGCAGCGCAGTTAAAGTAATTTAAAAATTGTTTAAATAATTTTTACTTTACAGCTTTTTTATTCATTATTGATTATTGGTTTTTTATTACAATTATATGTAATTGTATTAGTAAATGTTTATTATTCCATTACAATTGCATGTAATTGCAAACTGACAAGTAATTTATTATTTATTGTAATAATTACCCCAAGATTGCCTGGCACAAATAATGGTTGAGGGAACATTTTTTTTTAATAACCAAGAAAAAAATATCTCCCTATTGTACACATGTAATTGAGCTCTTTCAGTACTTTATTTTATTTGTAGTCTTCCATTTTAATTTAATTTTGCAAATCTTTTCTAAAAGAAAACTTTTTAAGGCATTTTTATTAACAATTAATTGTAGTCTAGTGTAGTGAGTATGTAAATATGTTGATATGTTTGGATGTGAGCTTTTATATCCTTTGAGGAATTATCTCTAGGACTTAATGTATTCGTCAACTGAATTATAGAAACGTGTGCGGTGTTGCCTCTTAATTTTATTACATGTTGGAAAACATTCTTTGTTTTAAAGTAAAACAAATTGGAAATAATATAATTTTCTTAAATAAACAACAACAGCAACAAAACCTAAATAATGAAGAAAACAAATCTAATGACAAGTCAGTGCACTGTTTAAGTCCTGAATATTGTGATTGTCTGTACACACTTTTGAACAGATTGTTCTGCTTGCTTGTAAGTAATTGTTTTCAAAGAATATTCAAAACAAATTGAAAGTTTTGAATTTTCCTTTTTACTGTTGTTGTGGATTTTTCTAACAAACTCAAATTTTGATAAATTTTCAAGATACAATTTGTTCAACTACAAATGAAAAATACTATTTTTGCATTTGATTCCTATTTTTTCTTTTCTTGATGTGTTTGTTGCCTTTTTGAGGGGGGATACGAATTTAAGAGAATTTCTAAATAAACCAAAATAGAGTAAAGTATTAAATAAAAATTGTAATGAGCCCTTAATGCCCTCTTGTCTATAGCAGAGATTCCTAAAGATAATATTATTTGAAAAGAAATGTCTTATATGTAGACAATATATTTGGAATCTCTGCTTATTCTTGTGATTCCCATTGCCTTAGTAGTGTTTTAGTATAAATAATATATGTATTTATAAAAATATGTGAATGTGTATGTATGACAATTTGCAGCAGCAATTGAGACATGTTTGAGTGTGTCATAAATTTTTGAACAAATGAACCTCAATTGTGTCAGTAACAGTTTTTTGTAACATTAAAACAGTAAATTTTCCTTAAAAAAAGCTACCAGCCAGTAACAATACTAAATAGCATTAAATTAGTCATAGCGAAGAGTACAAGTATCTTAGCAATGTAAAATATACAAGTTTATAGTTTGTTGCTCTTGCTTTTCCTTTAGCTAATTCATAATAAATTTCTGCATTATGACAAGTATTGAAAAAGTTTATTAATTTAATATTTATTTAATTTTCTACGGTTTTCTTACAGTTGCGGTTGCTGTGGCATTTTTTCTTTGTTGGGCACCATTTCATGCACAACGTTTGATGGCTGTTTATGGCTCTACATCGGGCATTGATTCAGAAGTTTTCAATACCATCTATTATATATTGGATTATACCTCAGGTGTATTGTATTTTCTGTCGACCTGCATAAATCCTTTACTCTACAACATAATGAGCCATAAGTTTCGTGAAGCATTCAAGGTAAGATTCCGTCAGCATGCACTTACCAAATAAAAATCATTATCATTAACACTTTGCTCTGCTTTTCCATTATTTTCTTTTCTATTTTCATAAAATTGTTCACACTTTAACATTGCACAATTGGAATGGAAAAACTAAATTTTCACTTCTTAATTTGAAATTTCGTCACTTAATTGTACAAACTCATAAAAATTGGTAACTTGAAAAACTTTAACGGCATGTTTTAATTTTATTTTACTTTAACAAATGGCTGCATGTGGGGTTGGGTTTGCACCTTCATTTTGTTTGTTTTTTGTTCTTTCTTTGTCTCTCTTTTCCTCTGTTTGATTTACTTTTTGTAGGTAACCCTGGCCCGCCATTTCCTATCGGGAAAATACCAGAGTCAAAATCACAATTACAGTGCTCTGTTGAGGCAGAATGGCTCGCTGCGTATGCATCATACAACGGTGAATAATAATGCTCTTGAGCACTATAGCTCATATCGTGTTGTGCAATTGCAATGTCGTGACCCAAGCCATCATCTTTCTCTACAGGATAGCATAAGGACAACAACGACGACTACAACCGTCAACAGTGGCAATGGTAGCGGAGTCGCTGGAGGAACAGGAGGAGGAGGAATTGGTGCTGGCGGCAGTGGTACTGGCAGCGGAAGTTCAACACTTATTGGTGGACATCATCATAATCATCATCAGGGTTGCAGCAACAGTTGTAGATCTTCGCAGCATCGTAACCGCTGTGCATCCATGGGTTCTCAATCTACGCTTCTTAACTCCCAAATAGGACCCAATACCCCAGCTCAACATCGACTGCTACAGACTCAAATATCGCAGCTGTCTTCGGTAGGAGATGCAAACTCGCTAATGGAATGTGATATGACTGGAGGAAGCACAGCTCCCCAATGTCATCATCCCTCAACTGCATATAGACTAAAGGAAATACGCAGGCAGCGTTCTAGAGGCAATGATGACTGCCACTCCATAGACTCTTCTGCTCCTTCTCATCATTGGAGAGATGACCCTAAACGCTGTGTTTCTATGCATGAAACGGAGCTGTATACCAAACCTATGGCTCCACATATAATGGCGGCCACACTTGTGGCAACACAGCCCATACAACCAATGCACTCAATAGCTGAACTTAGTATAGAAAGACCCACAAGATCAAGACTAAAGTTGTCACGCATAATTACCAGGCGCCAACAAGATGCTTTTGCATTACAATCTAGTCCAAGAGTGGAGTTAATGAGACCTCAATATAAGGTGGATAAAGCCTCGGTAAAAACGATCAATTCTCTGGCCGATAAGTTCAAGTGGCGAACTAAGCGAAAATTAACCAAAAAACGAACACCCGCTTTGAAAAATGGTGAAGAGTACGATGGTTCCACGAGCCTGGGTCCTCCTCTACCTACAACGGCCCTCATGAAGGTAGTTTACACTACAGCAGCGGGAGCTGATCTTGAACCAGAATTAACACTCAACACAGATGGTTCGTTGGGTTATCGTACTCCACATGCGTTATGATGACACATCAATGAATTGTCACCATTGAGGATGAATGAAAAGTTGAGCCATGAAATGGACAAAGAAGAATACGAATTGAATCAATTTAGATAAGACTGCTGAAAACAAACAAAACTAAACTAAACAAAAGAAAAGAAAATACAAAAATAGAACAGAATTTTAATGTATAAAAAAGCGTACAAGGAGATTGTGATGTTCAAGTGTCCAAAATTCAAAATGAGATTCTAGTTTCTTTAGTTTATTAATATGTATTGTAACTTAACTAGTTGGCTGCTGAATACTTGTAACTCTTGTTATTTTTCTAGATACAAATTTCAACAACCTTGACTTTGACATAACAAAGACAAGAAAATAATTTATAACGACAATAAATTGTCATAGTTTATAACAGATAATAGTGTTTGTTCAACAGAATAGAATAAAAAAACTTTACAGCATCATCAAAAAACATCAACGATTTGTGATTTCAAATACCTACTGAGTACATACTTATAAAGTGGTAAAAATACAGTTAATTTAAATTTATAAATTCGCCTACGTTGGCAAAAATAACTTGGAGTACATTTAACTAAATTATTAATTTTAAACGTATGCATTGTAACATTACATTTAATTTCCATTACTCCTTTAAAAAGGCTCTCATAACGGAAATTAACTCATTGATTGATACTTCAAAAAACAAATTAAGGTGTCTCAAATTTAACGCCTACATATTGTCGAGAACAAAATATCTATAAATAACATGTTTATGAACATTAATAACACATTTAATAATTTTAGATTAACTTTGTTATTGTTTTCGCCCACAAATTTAAAAAAAAAAACTTTTAAATATGATTTTTAGCGTGAGTTTTCATTGTAAAAGTAATAAATAAAATGTCTTACAGCAAATTGACATGTAAAAACTCAAAGTAACTTTTAACTTGTAATGACATTTTTTTAACGTAAAGATTAGAAAAGTTTTTTCTTAAAAGACGCTACGATATTAAAAAAAAAGCAAAAATATTTACAAATTGTTTACAATTTCCTATTGTGAGTGTGTGTTATTTGTTCTAACACTATTTAGAAGTCCTTTGTTCAATTTTACCACTTTATATATTTATGTACATGTAAGTATTAAAAGTCGCTTTTCTGACACGATTTTGTGGCATATTTTAAGGGCAACATTTTTGAAACACTTGTGAAAAACGAGCTTATTTTCCAAATTTTCGAAAGCGATTTAGATCCTAGTAAAAATTTATAAATTTTTTAGAAAAAAATTATGACCACTTAAAATAAATATTGCCACTTAAAATAATATATTGTTACTGTTCTAAGGGAAGAAATTTTACTGAAGTTTTGAAAATGTCATATAAATTTTGAAACTTAAGTATAATTTCATCTCTTAGGGCGAACTTTAAAACCTGTCCTAAGCAATTTTAGTAACTTATACTCAAGATTACTAATAATGGGGAATAAGAAGTTAATATGTCCCAAAGTCATACCTTATAAACATACATATTTTAAACAATATAGATCTACCGAAAACTCCAAACATTCTAATTTGCCATAGAAAATAAAGAATTAATCACTTATTTACAGTTCCGAGTTAAACAAGAAAATTTATTCAATTTAATAACATGTTCAACTTGCTAGAAGTTTTGAAACTTTAAACGTGATATCATAAGAAATAAAAAGTCCTTTTAAATAAGTTAAAACTATTTTGCTTTTAATTAAAAATAATATTTCTAAAATTCTAAATTTTATTGTAAATAAAGTAAGAATAAGATGTAAATAATACTAAGTGTATAGTTAGGTACCTATGTACATATATTTTTTGAAAATATGTGCATAGTTTAATACATAGTTTTATATATATAGAGGTAACAAAGTACTTAAGTCATTAAAAGTTAAAGAATTTTTAGTTTTTAGACATATTTTCTCTCTTGCGCTTTGTTTTTCTAAAGCCTTTTATAGAATTTAACATTTTATTTCTTACATGTAGATAATTATTTGTAAATTTAATTAATATCTCAAAGTAATTCCAATATTATTCTCAATTTTTTACTTTATTTTTTTTTTCGAATGTGAATTATTACACATTGTGTAGAATAACAATAATTATGTAAAATACTGTAAGTATGTATTCGTGTCCTTTTTTATATGAGTGTATGTATTAAATAAAATAAGAAAATGTTTGTAAATTTGACTCTTAAATTGCCATTTGCCATTTTAAACTTGTTAAAATTTTATTAGTAATAAAAAAAGTTAAGAAAAGAGAAAACCTAAATATATTTTTAAAACAAAAGATTCAATTAATATAAAAGTGCAATAAAAATTAAAGATATATATTATACATAAATAAATATAAAATATTTAATGAAAAAGTTTAAATTTCAATAATGTGTTTTATTTCTTTGTCTCAAATCGCCACCTTGTGTTCCTGAAGGTATGCTAAGGTTTCTGTTAGAAATTATTTGCATGCAATATTTCGTTTATTAAATAAATATTACTTATACGCCCCATTTGAATTGTTATTTTATTGAAAACTGCAGCAATTACACACATCTAAAGTTGTTATCTTAGTTTGCTCATTGACCTTATTCAAAAACATTTTAAAACCGCTAATTAAGCTTAAATAAAAGACAAAAACCACACTATAATTATCATTAAAAAGAACAAAAAGGAAAACAAATAACAGGCGACAAAATCCACATCATTAAAATGTGCTCAACACAAAAAATTAAAAAAAAAAAAACTTTTAAAATGTTATTATGCATTTCACACAACAGCATATCATGAAAGCAAAAGTTTCTTTTGCTGAGTTTTCCACAACAAACAACATTTAATTAAATCGTTAGTCTAAACCTCCATATTAAAAATACATTTTCCTGTACTAGAGTTTAACAATTTATTTTAAATTATATGCTGCAGTAATTAAGATTAAGAAAAAAACTTCATGGGATAGCTGCATACACACACACAATGCCAGGCTCACCAAGGCAAGTCCCATGAAACTGACCACAATGTTTAACTGACCACAGCACATTCACATACTCTTAAAGTTTCCTTTGGTTAGTCGTCACAACATGTGGACACAAAGACAACATTTGTGTTGTGTTTATTAGTTTATTGTAGAGTTTTCAAAACAAATGCTAAAATTTTGAGATCAATTTGCAGATAAAAGAATAGCAAAGTTTTTTTCACCAGGCAGTATTATTGTTGAAGTCCACTGCATAGTTTAGTAAATTGTGCATCTAAAACAAAATTATTACATTTAATTAATTTTTAAGATCGTAAGATATTTTTACATCGTCAAGACATTTCTACAATTTCTAAAGGTAAATTAAAATAATTTTAAACAGCTAACGAAGTAAATTTATTTCAACGAGAATGCAAATTTATAGTAAATAGCTATTTATATCAGATCACTGCCCGAAACGTAAATTTTTAATCCAGTTTGTATAAATGTTGTTCGTAGATTTGCTGTGATGATGATAATAATGAAAAACACGTTCATACAATCACTGAATTTCGCATTCGAATGTAATGACACGAATTACGAAAAGTTTATTTTTTGCGATTTTTGCAACTTTAATACATTTTTTATGTTTTCCAAATGGTTGTACTCGTATATTATTTGACTGTGATTGTATGTCATTAAATATGAATGTATGCAATATGTATGTGAACGTATCCGGAGGGAAAAGCATCTAACAAGTAGACCTTACAAAAGGCTTTTTGAATTACAAAGATCTCCAAGACAGTATAATATATGAATATCGAATTCCATGCGTCCGAACGTAGGTCGTTAGAAATTAACTTTCCGAAGACCTCTAGGTTCAATATTTGAAACATGCACACCAATTTATCTTTTAGAAAGAGAAATGTATTTTTATCAACCGTTTAAATTTTTATATAATTTTTAAGTCCTTAAAAGCAATTCGATAGAAATGTGTGTACTATTCCATAGAATAAGCATATACTAATTCATAGCGTAGTTCATTGACTAGTCTTTGAACTATTCTATGGACTAATCTATTATCTAGTTTATAGTGTACTCTTTGTATTAGTCTATTAATAATATAGAAAAAGTGCTTAACATGTTATGGGGGACTAAATTTGCCATTACCTAAGTTTTCAAAGGAACTTATGCGTTAAGGCCCTCTTAAAAGCTTTTAATGGTATATTGATCCCCCTAGCTAATGTATATGTACGGAGTAAATATTTCTTTGGTTGCTGGTGACAATGAAATTTTTGCAGTTGTTGCTAAATATTTTAAGGATAATTGAGTTAAAATGCTAATAATCTTAACATATTCTCTCACGCACATATATGGCTACATACATACATATATATGTATTCGTTCATAGACCGTTCAATGTGTTTTTTTTTTTTTTTTTGGCGAGAGAAGCAATTACTGCTCAATGACACTGACAATGACATTGGCTTCTTTTGGGTTTTTAGTTGGTTACTTTTGCATATTAACTAGAATTATACTTAATCTAGTGGAAATTAAGATTTAAATGTATTTTTAATTCTATGACAAACTAGTCATATTCTTTTGTGTCTTTATCTATTTAGCAAAGGTTCAGCTTTATTTTTAAAATTTTGCTGAAATTTGTTTAAATTCTTAATCGCAATATTTACCTTAGGGACAGGACACTGTTACTGTGGTAAGTAATATTTGCCATTAGTGCCCTTGAAAATTAAAGTGTTTCTTTCTTTAGTATATGTTCCATTGCAATTTGCAAATATAAAATTGTTTTTAACCTTTATAAATAATGTTGACAACTTAAAGGCTTTCGGGAATACATTTAAGTCTTTCCATATCAATTGTTTTTCATTGCCAAAATTTATGCTAATTAATTAAGTTAAATGTGAATGTTTATACATATATTTAGTTTAAATATACATTAATGTTATTTAAATACTTAATTATGGTTTTAATGTTAAAGAGAGCGTGAGCAAATTTAATAGATTTATGGGCGAGAGTGCGCGAAGTAATGAACATTTAATGCTTCTAAGAAATCTCTTTAAAATTATACTATATTTCTAAATTTTATTTATTTCAATTTTGTAAAAAATTTATTTAGCTTTAATTAAAACATTTTTCAAAATCCATTAAATTTTTGTATTTAATAATTTAAACTGCAGCAAAATAAATTTATTGTTTATCATTTTTGTTATAATAAAAACTTTTTACTAAAACTATTTCATACAACAGATTTAAATTATGCCAACAACTTGTTTAACAAAAAGTATAATATAAAAAAAGAAATAAATTCTCATATTAAACTAATTTGAAATAAGTATGAAAAAATGTATAGAATACTTAAAAATGAACACATGACATGGTCTTGCATTTAATAACAAGATGAATTAAGTTGATGATGATTTTATTTACACATACTTGTATAAAATACATACGAAAGCTGGTTAAGAAATCCAACAGTCTTTAAAGGAGTCATTGTATCCTTTCACTCATCACGACATAAACACATTTATAAATAATTGTATTTTCGCTTGAACAGTATAACGTCTCCAACGACTTAAATTTAAAGTTAATTTTAGAAAAGGCTTTTTATGGGCTCAAACTCTACAAAATTTGAAAGAGTGATAAATTCTTAGAAACGAAGGCATATGAAGTTGGGTTCAATTATAGACCAATCCTCCAATAGAGGGCCAAAATATCCCATTTTCAATACGCAACTGTGATTACCAATGGAGAATATTTGTTAAAATTTTCAGCTCTCTGTTTATGCCATATCATATCTACAAACAGACGGATGGACAGACATAACTAGATCGGACCCAGCTTCCTCTCCTAGGGAAGCTGTTTGAGGCTGCCACACTCCGAACTGCAGGATGTTCTGTTAAATAGTATATAAGAGTGTGCGTGAGAGTGTTTAGCAAAAAAAAAAACTCGTATTTCTATTAACATTTTATTTCAATGAAACGGTCATTGTGCTTATTTCTATAAATTTGTACCTAAATCGAATGAAGTATGAGTATGGGTATTATAACTGACTAATAAAGTTGTCTTCCAAACAACTGGTCAACTAGTCAAGCAGCGAACAAACCATCCAACTGAATAAAACCTTTCGACCTTCTAACCAATCATCCATCTGTGCATTTATCTCGACAATCGTCAGATGTTTGTTTTTGCTTTGTTTATGTTTGTTTGTCTAATTCACTGTTGTTGTTGTTATTTTTGCTGTTGTGATTATTGGTGTTGTTGTGGTTGTTTGTTATCTAAACAATGCCAATTATTAGACTAGACTTTAATTTGAGAATGTTTAAGCAAACAGAAAATATTTATTTATTAAAGCTTGACCAAACATGTTTTTTAAATTTCAGTCTTAGAAAACTTTTGCAAAAAAGATTGGAGAATAACTTTTTATTTTTAGGGATTTTATATTTAATATAATTAAAGTGAAAGAAAACATTATTATTAAATGAGCCTAAAAATACAATGCATTTTTTAGACATAAATTTTAATTACTTTGCAAGAGTTTATTAGATATGTCCAAAAAAATTTTTTTAAATAAAAAGTTTTATATGAACTTTGAATAATGGGGAAGAGAGGATAAACAATCCTGGTTTGTGATCACTTATGTTTTAGCACACATTATATACTTAATTGCAATATTCTTTGATCGCATCTATTTCTCATAATAAAAAATTAAAAAAGGTATAAAAATGTTTAATTTTTAGTTGTTTCAACATTTTCCAATTCTTTAACCTTTTGTTTCAAAGTCTTGATATAAAATAAATATTAAATAAAATGCAAAAAGTTTAATTCAAAAGTGCTATATTTTATGTAGTTGTGGCTGCTGTTTTTACCTTCAATTTTGTTTTACAAAAGTTTGAAAAAGTACCACTGTGATGCATTTGTCTGGCTTGATGAAATGTTTTTTATGGGATTTAATTCTTGTTTCCCTTAGTGCGGTTTGTTGTTGGCAAGTATCTTTGGTGTTTCTTTTTTATACATACTTACAAAAGTTTTAAAATATAGTTTCAACTGGAAAATTGTGGCTGAAAAGTTCGAAGCTTTTTAAATGTTGTATTTACCTACATGTATGAAATGCTTTAGTTAGTTATAACTATAGTTAGTTAGTTAGTTAGTTAGTTAGTTAGTTAGTTAGTTAGTTAGTTAGTTAGTTAGTTAGTTAGTTAGTTAGTTAGTTAGTTAGTTAGT